GGGGGGGTTGACATAAATTTGTTTCCTTTATATACTTCAACGTCTTCAGAGGGTTTCTTAAAATCTGAACTTGTAAGTGCCAATAGTTTATAGAATCGATATTTGATTTAACGTAAGTTCATACTTGACCAGTGGATTACCAAGTAAGGCCCTGCTAGAATTGAATAAAACATTAATTCTTAAAACAAACTAGAACGAACAACATTTTGATGGGAATCGAATCAAAGTACAGGGTGATCCTAAAAAAACCCCGTTACAACTTGTTTTTAAAATAGCTTCCTCCATACTATAGTTTTGTGTTTCTGATTTGAACATAACGTTTGGAAGCCTAAAGGAATTCGTCTAATATGTATTTTAGGCAAGTCTATTGAATGGTTTTTCTCTTTCTAGCGTATTAAAAAAAACAACCCATTTTCAACCTTGTCGCCATTTTCATAGCATGACGCACCAGTTCGCATTAGGCCTACCACTAAAAGTAGCAACAATCGCGCCATATATTTCAAGCTACAGCAGTTTAACAAGTCAACAGAAGTCTTCAGATATTATTTTTCTCAAATTTTGTTCGCCTGCTTAGATCATGGTTATGTTTAGTAAAGAGCTGAGAGCTTTTTGTATTGAACATTACCTCTCCACAAACTCACCATCCCTGACATTTCGTAAGTTCTGAGCACGGCATGGAGAGAATGGCCTAGGTGCCCTCAAGACCTTTGGCGTCATGAGTAGAGAATTTCCGTCAGTTTGGATCTATAGCGAATCAGAACTAAAAAGTTATTTAAAACATGACTACTTCAGGTCGAACACGCACCATGCGCAGCCCTTTAAACGTCACCGGAGTGCAGATTTCAGTAGCCGAGTCCCATGAGACGTCTCTCTGTGGATGATCTGCAGAGCTAGGACTTTCCTACACCTCAACAGTCTGCATTCTAATGGCAGATCTTAACCTACGATTGAACCTTTTTCATTTTCGCTAGGCCGAAATGACATGGGTCAGAGCATGGCAATGTGTTCTTGATTCCTCGATTGTCTTGTAAAGAGGAATCATTTCCTCGATGACATTTGGTTTACTGCAAAGCCCATTTTCACTCTGCGGGACACGTTAACTCCAAAAATGCTATGTATTGGGCACCCCACTGTATTGTCTCTAGAAGACACTTTTTTGTGAACACGTACAGTGTATGTGGCTTTAAAAACTCATATTTAGCAGGTCCTTGTGTAAGGGCGCCCCTGAACATTTCGAACGACGCGCTAAAAATGTGTCGAGTCCAAAGGAGGGAATGTGGAGCACTGCTTCTAGGAATTTCAGAATGAAATCATAAGTTTTTAAAAAATTCTGTAAAGAATTTAAATATTGTTTAAATGTCACAGGGATGGATAATTGATGTCAAAGAGAAAATAAACAAAAAGTTAAGTAATCTTTTCACGACTTTTTAAACATTGGTGAACTTTGCGTTTTTGGGTGCTTTTTTTATTTTAGCCGTTTCCGTTTTCAAAACGTGTTTCTTCTTCGTGGATTTTATATCAAACAAATTCCTTTTGAATAAAAAAATTACAGCATTCTAGAACAATTTTTGCGCGAGATATTCAGAAAAAAAGTTGTAAAGTTTTTTGGGATCACCCTGTACTTCAACCCAAACTCAACAACAATGCGCCTTACTGTTGTACAGTTAACGACGTGCATGATTCATAATATATACGAATCTGTATAAGAAAAGACGATTTAAAGTAAAGATAGGTAGACAGACAGATAGATAGATAGATAGATAGATAGATAGATAGATAGATAGATAGAGAGAGAGAGAGAGAGAGAGAGAGAGAGAGAGAGAGAGAGAGAGAGAGAGAGAGAGAAGGGTGGGTTTTGAAGAGACAGAGACGAATGGAGTTAGGGAGAGCGGGGGAGAGACTGATAGATAGATAGATAGATAGATAGATAGATAGATAGAGAGAGAGAGAGAGAGAGAGAGAGAGAGAGAGAGAGAGAGAGAGAGAGAGAGAGAGAGAGAGAGAGATGACCAAAGAAATGGACAGCTAATAAATCTTTCAGTTTTAAGAACACTGTTTGGGTTTACACTGCCCCCCAAAAAATTAATTAAAAATGAATGACTGATCATATTTTTCCACAATGGTCATTTTACAAACCAAACAGGAAGCAGATGAATGATAGATTGAAATTATAAAGGGTGGATGCTGACTGTATACAGAAAATCAAGACTCCGACACCTACAGGTGTCTCCAGCATCTACAGGTGTTGTTTAAAGGGGGAATAATTATTTTTAGAAGTAATAATATTCATTATGTAAGAGTTTAGAAATAGAATACCTGACGATTTTTCTTTCTGAAGAAAATATGTTAAGGATTCACTTAAAAGAACATAACCTCGACAAAAACAAATGATTGCCTGTCTTGCCAAGTATAACATTGACAAAACGCAAAAACGTAAAAATGAAAACGAATCGTCATGTTAATAATTAATAAAAACAGCCAAACGTAGATCTACTTTTTAGCCGTGCACTTGTAAAGAAGACGGAAAGTCTGTTCCAGACTTAGAAAAAGCAATACAATACAGAACAGTACGGATGTTTCTGGTACTTTGAAGTCTGCAGTCAACTGACAAAGCAAAGCGATTGAAGAAAAAGGAAAAATAATCACGACAATCTGAAGCATCCTCCAACTGCCCACACCATGAAACATGATCCCTTGCATTTAAACCTAAATGAAAAGATTTTGTAGCTACATCAATATATTCAGATGCGAGAAACTATAGCAAAAATGAAACTGAAATCTTACCAGGTGCACTGAAACTTATATTCCTTGGAACTCCTCTGTGATGAAAATAACCCACAAACAATAGCAAGAGTAACAGTAAGAAGTGCTCGCTGGTTTGCACATCTCGTAAAGAAATGGCAGATGGGAAACTGTGCATACTATTATTGCATTTGGTGAAGGTTCCAGCTTGGCAGTCGGAAGAGCTGAGAGAAGGATGAAAGAGGAGGAGTGAATGAGAGAAAGCTTTTCCCGGCCTCAAGTCTTTGGTCTCCGAGGACTCCTGTCTAGCCACACGCGCTCACACGGCCTTGCTTTTTTCTGTGCGGTGGTGAGCTGGGCCGCATGCACAGCTATTAGATGGTACGCACCTCTGGTTTGATTGTGTGATGTGTGCTGCAGTGGAAAGGAAGACGAGAAACGAATGAAATCATGAAAGACTGTATATTATATTTAACATTGTTTTGCGTCGTCATCGAAGATACAGCTTATCATTTAAAAAAATAAAGATAATAATTGACTACAATCGAACACATGTTTTTAGGGAGCAATACGATGAGATGAGCGGAGCTTTTCCAAAACAAACGCAGATGGAAAAGTGCAGGGAAAAATACTGATTTATAAGAGGAGGTTTAGATTGAAAGCAGTAAAAGCAGAAATCGTCAGAGCGATAGGCAAACTTGATAAAGAAAAAAGAGACAGAAGTATAGAAATTGAAACCGACGGATCTGGAGAGAAATATAATGAGACACATAGACGAATACAGAAGACATATATTGTGACGTTCAATTGGATAGACAGACAGGTAGATAAATACGCAGACAGACAGACAGACAGACAGACAGACAGACAGACAGACAGACAGACAGACAGACAGACAGACAGACTGATCGGTAAATCGATAGATAGATAGATAGATAGATAGATAGATAGATAGATAGATAGATAGATAGATAGATAGATAGTAAGGAGTGAGAAAAAGAGAGAAAATGAAAGAACAAGGGACAGATTGATAATATAATGAAGGCTCAGATCAGTCGATCGATTTACTTACGGATATTGACAAAGGGATAGAGGGGTGGGGAGAGAGAGAGAGAGAGAGAGAGAGAGAGAGAGAGAGAGAGAGAGAGAGAGAGAGAGAGAGAGAGAGAGAGAGAAGAGAGGAAATGAGAGAAGGGATGAGAGGAGAGGAGAGGAGAGGAGAGAAGATGAAAGGAGAGAGAGAGGAGGGAGAGGAGGAGGACGAGGAGGAGAGAGAAATAGACAAACAGACACACGCATACACACACACACACACACACACACACACACACACACACACACACACACACACACACACACATGTACAACGAGAGAACACTAAATGGGATGGGTGGGGGTTAGTTGTGAAAATACAGATACATCTTACAATTTGTTCATAAATCCAAAAAATATAGAACCGGCTCCTCTACTTCATTTCACAATATTCACATCAAAATTCTAATTCTTCAAAAACAGAATCAGGCGGACACCGCGTGTCTCACATCAGTTAGCAAAGAATAAAAATCACAGTTGAACAATGAGTTTTCAAATGCAAACGGTGTAAAGTATAAAACGCTAAATACGCATACAGTAGTAACATTAATATATATATATATATATATATATATATATATATATATATATATATATATATATATATATATATATATATATATATATCACTAAACTTGTTGAAACAGTCATTTTTTGACATCGTTAATCAACATGTGAATTTCTTTTCACGGTCATCTTTTCATAATAAATCTAAAAATGCATATAATCATGTTCAAAGCGAAAATATCACACTGAACTCAACACGTACAGAGAGAAGTGTCTCCACTGCTTACATTTTGAACAAACCGTGTAAAACCTGGCCCTTCTTTCCTTCTAAACCCATTCAAACGATTTACGATGGAAGAGTCTAAAAGCAGAGTGTCTAGACTAAACAGAGATCAACACAGCGGGGCCTCCAACACAGGATCAGCAGTCTTCTCCGAACAAGATGCTATCATGGAAACATCTTCAATCACAGGACACGTGGCACCCGCAGCAATCAACACGACACGACCAGTTGTAAGATCCGTTATAAATTGGTATCACTTTTATAGAGAACAGCGAGGACCGACTAGTACACGCGCTGATACAAGCTAAACAGTACTCGCGAGCACATCTCACTCCACTGCCGAACCTCAAAGGAGAACAGACAGTCCGTAATACATAAGATCCCCCCTAGAGATTGACTACGCTTTTCGTTCTTTCTCTTGCTTCTTTTTTTACGCGTTAACCGCAAACCACTCACTGCTAAACGCGGCTAATACGAGATTCCGCTTGTATGAAGATGTGCCATCAACGTGGGGTAAAGAAGAAAAAAAGTAAAGGAACAAGGTGGGCGATAGAGAGTAGCTGCAGGGAAAGGAAGAGACGGAGAGGTGCAAAGAGAATGAGAAAGAAGCTGAGAGGTTGGATTATAAAGACAGGAGAATGCCGGAGGAATTGAGGTGATGGCGGGTGGGAAAGAAAAATAAAACAATACCGAACAGAAAAGAAAAGAAATGCAATTCCTAAAGGATATCGCAACAGAGAAGAAGCCCAGCACGCCGTTTCTGTCTAGAGAAACAAAACATTTGGTTAGCTCATCAAAGCTCCGACACCGTCAGCAAACAGCGCTGGGAGACCTTGATAGCGCTCTTACTCCTTCCTTTACTCACACACGGGGCCACACCGTCCGCCTTCCCGGCTCTCTCACTCCCAGCTGTCTCTACCACTAGTACAATATTACTCCGGTTTGCCCACTCCGGCTACCGTCATCGCCACACGAGGACTTGGTCTGGCTCAGTGCTACGGCTCATCATCATCATCATCATCATCATCATCTAAAGCTAGCGAGTAGAGTTGTGGTGATTGTGACTGGCCCTCCTAGATAGCAGCGCTTACCACACTTTTAGTCCCAGATCTGTTTCTGCTTGCCGGTGGCGCGCGCTCCTCGGATGGCAGACAAGCAAAACAATATCTGAATCTGAACTGAGTACTCCCCCCAGCCCCCACACCCCCTTCCTTCCTCCTCTTCCTCCCCGTCTACTTAAGTCCGCAACAGCGTTACAGCTGCCGCGATGCCAGTTGGTGTCGGTACTGGTGGTGATGGTAACAGTGGTAATAGTGATGGCATCAGCATGGTGGTGGTTGAGGTAGTAGTAGAGGTGGTGGTGGAGGTGGTAGTAGTATAGATGTTGCTAATGCTAGAAGTGGTGATTGAGGTAGTTGTAGTGATAGTGGCAGTGGTAGGGGTGGAGGTAGCGGTGGTGGTGAAGCTGGTGGTAATGGTAGTGATAATGGTAGAGGTGGTGCTAAAGGTAATGGTGGATATATAGAAGTGATCAAATGGATGGTGGTGATGCTTGTTAAACTGGTTGCAGTGATACAGGCGGTAGATCTAGATACAGATTCGAAACTTATTTGTAACAGTAGTGTACGCAATAGTGATACCGATGGCTGTGATTTCAACAGTAGAAGTGTGGTCACACTAGCATTTGTGCAAGAGGTGATAACAATTATGATAGAGGTAGTTGTGGAGGTGGTACGAATAAAAATGATAGAAGTAGCGTGTGTAGTAATTGCGATGGTCGTAGTGGTAGTGCCAGAGCATGCATGGGGAGACGGGGATGCCAGCACTGAGGTGGATGGGGAGCTTGTAGGACTGCTATTAGTGGTGGTGCTGATGTAAATGGTCGAAGGGCCCGCCGTTGGTGAGGGTGATGACACCAACATTTTCCCCTGCGTCCCCCCTCTCCTTTCTGCATCTGCCTACCTCTAAGCTCCTATCTTCTACAAAGTCATCGATTCCTACATGGTCGTTGAGCTAAGTTTCTCACCAACCTGTAGTAGTAATAGCAGTAGTAGTAGTAGTAGTAGTAGTAGTAGTAGTAGTAGTAGTAGTAGTAGTAGTAGTAGTAGTAGTAGTAGTAGAAAAAGAAGAAGAAGAAGAAGAAGAAGAAGAAGAAGAAGAAGAAGAAGAAGAAGAAGAAGAAGAAGAAGAAGAAGAAGAGGATGTAGAAGAAGAAGAAGAAGAAGAAGAAGAAGAAGAAGAAGAAGAAGAAGAAGAAGAAGAAGAAGAAGAAGAAGAAGAAGAAGAAGAAGAAGAAGAAGAAGAAGAAGAAGAAGAAGAAGAAGAAGAAGAAGAACTGTTTTAGGCCAACCACCACCCTCCTCAACAAAAAATATCGATGCAAGAAAGATCTTTTATGAACCAGACAGCTTCAACATTGATTGTCTTTGCCAATACGCGTTTAGCGGAATAGTGTACCCCAGAAGAAAGACGGAAATACTGGAAAAGATAGACTTCACATCATGGGAATACAAGTCAGTGCTTTCACGTGCAATGCCGATGAGCTAAACCATTACTTCGTTGACGTCGGTAAATGTGGTAGTACTAACAGTACTTGTATTTCCGGAAGGAGCAGTAACAAAGGCAGCAGCAGTACAGAAGTAGTACTACTACTACCACTACAAGTAGTAGTATTAGTAGTAGCAGCAGGAGCAGCAGCAGGAGCAGCAGCAGCAGTAGCAGCAGTAGCAGCAGTAGTAGTAGTAGTTGTAGTTGTAGTAGCGGTACTAGTAGTAGTAGTAGTAGTAGTAATAGTAGTAGTAGTAGTAGTAGTAGTAGTAGTAGTAGTAGTAGTAGTAGTAGTACATGTACTTCTACTACTTGTAGTAACAGTATATCTAGTAGTAGCAGTAGTAGTAGTAGTAGCTAGAGTGTCCCTTTCGGTACGGTTTTGTTTTCCTAGGAATAATTACCTCTCCCTCTCTGCAGCCGTATCCCTTCCCCCACCCTCCCCCACCCTCCCCCAAACCACACACACACACACACACACACACACACACACACACACACACACACACACACACACGGACGCTTACACATACATCCACCCTCCCCAACCCACCCCGAATCACGGCTCCATCCTCAATGCTCCCTCCACCCCTCTCAATCCACACACCCCTCTCCCTCTCCATTTTCTTCAGGTTACAGACATAGTGCTGTAGTGCCAACAGGTAGTGCGGAACTAATACGTCGTAGCATCTGATAGCGGGGCCGCTGCCTTTTCGCTCTCAGCCAGCCAGGGGGTTCCACGGGCTTGTAATGGTGCCAAGTGGAGGCCAAGTCTGTGGAACTAAACCTTGCATTTTGCTGTGCCTAGTCTCCAAAATGGTGGTTAGAGTGTTGGAGCTAAACCGCTAACTCCTGCTTCTGTGTTGCTAAGGAAATGTTGTATTATTTATACATGTGTTTGGTTAAAATTTCTTTTTAAGTCTTGGAGATAGTAGAAAAAAGGCTAATTCCAAACGAAAGACATGTCAACACATAAATTCAATATGAGTTTGTTTGTTTGTTTGGTTATTGTTTGTTTGGTTGTTTGATTCATTGTATGTGTGTTGCTAAACTATTTCAAACTAAAAACCAGTTATTGCATAATCAGACAGCACCAGAGAAATAAAAAACCAGATAAATGAAATCTTCATAACAAATTTAAATAATAAATTTTGCTGCAGTGTATCTCGACCCCCCCTCCCCCCAAAAAATAATAAAAAAACAAAAACAAACTCCTCCGGTCTGCCACTAATGTAGCATGCAGTTTTAAGGAATATCTTGGGAGTTTTTAAGTTGAAAAGAAATGGGTTGCTTTTTTGCAGCTCTGTTTCACGCAAGAATAGCCTACTTCTTTTTTACATTCGCCTTCGTTACATTGCCAGATAATATACAATGATTACGTGTATAGCACGTGCGCTTTGAACCAGAATAGGTTCTGTGTGGAAAAAGAAGGGGAAAATCGAAAATGAGATTTCTTTCAGTTCAATTCACGTGGAACCCGTGCTCCTTTTCAGTTCACATGGAATAGCTAATTAAGGCCATTTTGGCAGTACTTCTGAAAAGAAAAGCAATTTGTTGTCACTGCCTTCCAAGGAGCAGACAGCTGCGTATGAAGCAAGTAGGTCATTTCTATAAGATACAAAATTAGCTATCGTGTCACATCCATTCCATCGTAAAGACTAGAAAAAAGACAGTAAATGTCTTTACACTCCCATCGACACAATTCTTATCAATAAAGACTGTTGGCTGTTTCGAACATGCCTGCAAAGGCCAACCCGGGTTCAGTGAAGCACACTATCCCTGCAGAAAGATTGAGTTAATCGAAAATTAGACTTCACAGCTCCAGAACACCGTTCACATTTTGGGGGCCCGAGGGCTAACAGCCTATCTAATATATACTATACACCAGACGTAGGTGTATATGTGTGTGTGTGTGTGTGTGTGTGTGTGTGTGTGTGTGTGTGTGTGTGTGTGTGGGAGTGTGTGTGTGTGTGTGTGTGTGTGTGCGTGTGTGAGTGTGTGTGTATGTGTGTCTGTGTGTGTGTGTGTGTGTGTGTGTGTGTGTGTGTGTGTGTGTGTGTGTGAGAGAGAGAGAGAGAGAGAGAGAGGGAGAGAGAGAGAAAAAAAAGATAAGATAAGATAAGATAGTGCTTTTTTATTCCAGGGGGAAATTTTCCTTGGCTGTACAGGACCGTAAAAGCAGATGCAGGTATACATAAAAAAAATATTTAAATTATATATTTTACTCTCATTAAAATTCAACATGAAAAGAGAAGCAGAGCTGACAAAATGTACATTTACATCAAATGCATCATTCAATCACATGTAGGAATTTAAATACTAGATCTTTGGAGTTATATAATATAGATACATACTCTAAGAGCAACACACACATCTATGCTCATTCTGACAACAGCCTTATGCTAGATGGTAAAAACCTTCTTTTATATCTTTCTTTCTTTGTTTTTGGAGGTATATATCTGCCGCTGCGTGATCTTACAATTTGTGTGGAAAAGGGGTGTGATGGGTCGTTTATAATGCTTTCTATCTTTTTTTTATACGTGTGGTGTTATACATTTCATCCATTCTATTAAAATCATATCCAGAGATCTTGCTGTTTTCTTAATTGTTCTGTCAATATTTTCTTTATCTTTCACCTTACAATTCCCTCCCTAGCAGCAAATACAAAATAATATCACACTTTTAATCATAGAATGGTAAAAAGGGACATACTCTTATTGTCAACACGGAAACTTCTTAATTTCCTTAAAAGAATCATTCTTTGATTAATTTTTTTTTATGTACAAGATAGATAAATAAATAGACAGATAGAGAGGGAGGGACAGAGCGATAATAATATTATTCAAACGGAGAGATAGACATATAAGAGTCGTATAGGAATATGAACAAACAGTCAGCTTGAGAAACAGTCAGAAAAAAGGGGACCAACATGTCAGGTACAACATTGGAAAACCTTTTTTTTCGGCCTGGCGTGTCCTCTCCACGACAGTCAAGACCTAATCGAAGGCTCAAAATGAGTCACTAGCTACAGACGTAGGTTCGAATCCCCATATAGTCATTCTCAAACTTGGACTTCTACGAGCTTTCAAAAGGCTGCACTCTGTTGGCTCTGTCCTATTAAGGTGTAATGAAGCAGA